ATATTGGCCCCATGTGATCCAGAAAGCATCACAAGATAAACCTAACCTTAGGTAAAAAAATGCTGGAAAGTAGAAAGCTGAAAAAGCACATTCGGAGGAGGAAATAAAGGCAGGAGCATTTGACGTCACCACCGATTTCAGCTCCCTGCCTCTCCCCATTAGCGCTTACGTCAGGTTTGTTCAGGTCCACCTGAGGTGTCTTTCCTGCTGCACAGTGAGTGGCACAGGGACCAACTGAGCGCACAATATGAACAGTTAGAACTGTTCTGGATCCTCCACGACCAGTGGACAGAGTTACTGAAACCCTGTGTCTGGCGGCCAGGCTGGGACAGGCAGACAAAGGTCTTACCCAGGATCTCTGGGTAAGACAGACGCATCCCCACAAGCCCCTGCTAAGATTCTTTTCCCTGGATCTCTGGAGGCACATAGAGCTACAGGGCTGGGGAGGTTTAGACTGGGATTTTCATCCAAGGATGTTAGAAGCAAGTAACATCTGTCATGTGGGCACACATCTGCTACCTCCCAACAGTGGGTCTTAGATAAGAGCTGAGTTTGACAAGCCAGCTTAGACCTTCTCACCCCATGAACATGAAAGAGCTCTGTCTACAGAGCAAGCCCCACACTAAGTTAGCTTCTTAGCTGCAGGTGAAGAGGGGAAGGTGCAGACTTTGTAGCAGGAGAAAGAATAAGATGAATGTGCTAATCTTGAGGTGTGAGGACCTTACCCAGTGGGGAAAATGTAGTCCAGTGGGTGTCCTGAGATCTGACCAGTTCTCTTCCTGGAAGAGAGAGGCTGGATGGACAAGTTAAAAACAAGGTGAAAGGGACAGTTTCTCCAACACGTACTTTCCTTTAGAGAAAAGTCGTCTCTTACCCTAGAGATTGCGGATATCATGACTTGTTCCGTAAAGATTTGGTCCAGCCCAAGGACCCAGCGGTTGAAGAAGTGTGCACTTCATTGTGCAGGAATTAGCCAAGGACCCATAGGAGTTCCAGGGAGCTCACTGCTGACAGCACAGACAGAAGAAGAGGGAGCCCTGACGATCTTCTGGAAATGGTGCTGAAGTCTCTCATGAAAGCAGGGAATCTATTCTTAACCAGAGCAGTAGCTGAGGAAACTGGCTCCCCACTAGTTGCCATGGGGAAGTTCAGTGGAAAAGCTCCGGAACTTGACCTTGGAGTTCCAGGCATCTCCATCATAGTGTTCCCAAGCTGACTCTGCATCACCACTTTGGGTGGTTGTACAACTCTTAAATTTAGTAAATTTACTAAACAAACAAACAAAACCTGACTTTTACACTTAAAATGGGTAAATTATACACGAGTAAATTCGTTTAATGATAAATACATGAAAATACACGAATATGAATACATATGTTCACTGCCCCAAACTTCAAAGAACACAAATACATACAAGGAAAAATGGAAGTTCCTCCGTCTCCATATCCCTGCCCTACACCCCACTTTCTTTTACTTTCAGTAACCAAAATGAGCCATTTGGTGTAATTACTTCAAGACTTTTATTTATGCATTTTATAAATGTATGTGTTTGACAGTGCCGGTAGCAAAGTTTGCCACCCCTAAATGTCTTTTTGCCATGCAGATTATTTCGAATTGGAAGTAATCAAGGAACAAAAGACTCAGGAAGAAACTTTGAGCTTCCCCTAAAGAATGCAGGTAGAGGACCTGTTCCAGGAAGGAAGCATCACCATAGATAACCTAGTAGACAAGGAGGAACTCAGCAAAGTCGGCTTGTTAAAATTCCTGGGTTCCACTGTCTCTGCAGGCCCAGCAAACATTTATTTACCGAACATTTGCTTTTCCATCTCCATATAAATTGCCTTCCTCCCCTCTGAAGTCCCAAATCAGTACCCCCAACATCCTCTTTTATCTTTAGCTGCAGATGGTCTTTAAGGTGAGGGTTTCAGCCATTTTGGTGAGTTACTCAGTTTTCCTGGGTCTCTCCCATGGATACGTGTCATTCAACTTTTGTGTGATTTTCTCCTGTTAATCTATCTCATGTCAATTTAATTCTTAGACCAGCCAGAGTAACGTAGAAAGGTAGAGGAAATTTTCTTCCTCCCTGATAACAGGATACTATTTGAGATGTTAGCTAAGTCAATTATTTTAAATGTTTCAAAGACATTCAAAAAGAATGTACAGTCTCTGCTTTTGGGTACAAAGTTCAAGTTAGTTAAATATGATATTCAACTCCCTGATATTTTCATTTTTATTTTGTCAGTTTCTTAGAGGAATGAATTAAAAATACAAGGAGGATTTGATGCAATCAGAATCATAGTGGAAGATTTTAACAGTTTGTGTTTTCTGTGTTCCGATGTTGCCTCGCATGCATGAAGTCGTGCTTGATACAGCTTCTTGTGGCTTGTACGTGATGCTTCTTGTTTTCCAGGTAATGTTCCATTCCACTTTGTCTGGAATCAATAATACCATGTCTACATTCGTTTGGTTACCGCTTGTCTGGTATGTCTGTGTATGTCTCCTTTTTATTTTAAGTAACAGTTGGGGATTTATCTTTCAATCATAGAGAACACCTGACCATTAAGTAATAGAAATATGATGGTAGATTTATAGGTTGAATTCTGTAATTAGGCTGAATGTCGATTCTGGATATTTGTTTACAACAATGTAACCCCATTTAAAATATAATCCATGGGCTTCCCTGGTGGCGCAGTGGTTGAGAGTCCGCCTGCCGATGCAAGGGACACGGGTTCGTGCCCCGGTCCGGGAGGATCCCAC